TGAGGACCAGACGGCCAATGCGGCCAAATCTACACAAACACACAGCAGAGTTATTTAAGAGGTTTCATAATGACACAATCTGTCTTGTATCTGTTATTTTGAAAGATGCCTCTCATTCCCCCGCATCTGTCTGCCTACAAGGAACACGATGGAAAATTCCACTGAAGGACTGTGTGATTTCTTTGGGCAAAACAAGGAAATATCTACATGTTGCTACTGAAAGGTAAAGCGAATAATTCATGTTTTTCAGTTGATATCTGACTGGTAAGACACACTGCCTGAAAGACTATGCAGCAGGAGTGTGTGTACGTGCTTGTGTGGATGGAGACTTAAGCTCTTGTAATCATTCTGAATCATTCTCTCTCTCTATCTGCATTTTACAATCTCTATTTATGGAATTACTAGCTCTGTCCCAAAACCTAGTGAGATGCCTTGCTGTTTACTTCCTCTAAAAAATCTAAGGGAAAAAGAAAATCAGACCAACTTTGAATGTTCTTCATAGTCAGCAACTTAAAAGTACAAAGCACTGTCAATGTCAATTATTTCATTAGATTTAACTGTCATTAGATTCATTATCAGAGATTTTTTGTCAGCCAAACTCCTTTTACCTAAAATATATACTTGAAATCCCCCTGTGAATTTAAGGTAATATTTAATAACACTTTTGCATGTTTACAGTTCTCCAATGTTGGCTAATGGTCACATGACAAGCAGGTAAAGAAATGTGTTTTTTTACTAATAGTTTCAATTTGTTTGTTTATTTAATTTGATTCATTATTCATTATTTAAAATTTGATACATTATTAGCTTTTCATCAACTCTTTTATTAGTACTTTCAGGTACTGAATCAATTCTAAGTTCATTCAGAATTGATCTTCATCTTGCTTCGTCCACCATCTATACCACTGTTCATTAGGTAAAGTATCATTTTTAGGGTGTGGAAAAAGATCCTTTGTCAAAAATAGACTCAAGTTTGGCATTTAGTATTTAATATTCTGTTATGTTGTCCAATCATATATTAAAACCTTAATCATGAGAGATCAGATGTGAACTTACCCATTGATTCCAACGCAAAGATCAGACATTATTGAAAGAGTATGGATTGTGGTCCTGAACCTGAAATAATAGAAGACAAAAACAAAGCAGGATTTTAGAACAATTGCATCAACTTTACAACGTATAATATAACTTTATATTTCACTGTTGTTTTGAACTCAAGTGTTTAATAATATGTAGCAGTTTTTGTACAGAACCTGCATTTGTTTTGAATCTTATCGCAATGTGCCCATCAAATTCCACAGAATAAATAGCATTTTAATTTCATCTTGTGAAATAATAGCCTTAGTGTGATATAGACTGAATTTTATTTTCTTAGATCTCTGTGAAATTAGATTTTAATCATACCGCCCACCCTCACTAGCTCAGTGGTCTGTCTAAACACACTTGTGGGATTGAACTTCATGGACTTTCTCTGAGCCAGTGTGGTGTTCTGTATGGTGGGTGGAGGCTTGAACTGTTCTCTAGTTTTTATTGTTCTTGGGCCCATTAGCATACTGTCTGGGAAATTTCCAAACCTTGGCCTCACTGGACCAGCATACTTTATTAGCCTGGCAGAGCAGAAGATCTATTGTGTTAAGACAGCTTTTATTCTTCTCTTTTCATGCAGAACAGGGGCACCAAGTCATGCACTTAACAATTTGCCCTTTAACTTCCTCATGCGCACACAGGAAGCTGCTGAAATATTGGCAGTGCAGTGAAAGGGGGAATGTACATATATTGCAAAACAATCTTCACTGTGGGCTTCAATATGCAACAAGTTG